TCCCTGCTCTTTGTGAAGCTGCTGTGGGCCTGGGGATTTCATGTGGCTGGTGGGGAAGAAAGGCCATCACTACTCTATGGCAGAACAGGACTGGGAAAAGCTCAGCATGGCGCTTAAACCAGCTGCCGCCCCTCCTCCTGTGTAGACAAAGAGCACGGGGCAATTCTGTCCAGAGACCAAACCTGGCACCTGTTGGCTGGGAGGGTTTCTGCCTGCATTGTTCTCTGGGCCGGATTCCTCCTTCCCCAGCTTTTATCATCCACCCCACCGGCGTCAGATTGGGGCAATAGCCGTCCTGGGTGAGTTCCTGCCCCTCCCCGCCCTCTGCCGCAGCCGACATCAAAAGGGAACTGGGTCCGACCCTGTGCAGGATCTGTCCTCCTCTCTCACCTGGGGAAGGAAATGGAATTTCAAAGGCCGCTGTCTCTTGGATCAGCAGGCAAGGGGTTGTCAGAGCATGAGAAGCTCAGATCTGCCTGGGGAGCTGCCCTCCTCTTTGATCGCGCCTGCTTCTGTGATGTAGCCACTGCTGAGAGGAAGGCACGGGCCAGGGAAGCCACAGAACTGCCCGCCCACTGGGACACTGGCACCGAGGGTCTCAACCTGAAGAATAGGCATCTGAGACATCAGTGGTGCTCACCAGGCCTGGCAGCCCTGGATGCCTTGGGACGTGGCATCAGTTCTGCTGCCGCAAAGCCAGGTTGGGCAGGGAACACGCAGTTTCCTTGCTGGAGACCTCCCCATCCCTGGCCCTGGGGCTGTGCCTGCAGAATGGGGCCGGTGCTGCAGTCCTGCCTAGGGTGTTCCACCTGCAGAGCCTGCTGTCTGTAAGCACTGCACAGGTGCTCAGCTGAGAGGCAGCACGGTCAGAGTTGGCACCTCCACCCATACCAGCCCTGCCTCCAGTTCACTGTGTGGCCTTGGTGGCTGGATCTCACTGGGTCTCCCGGTGGGATATGCTCAGAAGTCCCAGCAAGGCTGGGTGTGGTTAGGATGAGTTATTGGAGCAGTGCTGGGCTGTGGCAGGCATCCAACATTAGCCGCTGCCATGATCTCCTGAGCACCTCCTCTAGAGAGAATAAAGGGCTGGCAAAGCTCTCCTGTCCCCCCCACCCTGACTTTGTGATCAGGGACCCAGGGCAGTTGTCACCTGAAATCCAAGGGAGACAGGAAGTGTGCAGCAAGAGCTGTGAGGCCCATGGCCCTGGGTCAGATCCCAGCTCAGCCATCTATTAGCTGTGTGACCCTGGTCAAATGCCTGCCCTCTCTGAGCCTTCTTATCTCACCTGTGAAAATACAAACTGGCTGGGTACTGTGGCTCATGCTTGTAATCCCACCATTTTGGGAAACTGAGGCAGGTGGATCACTTGAGGTCAGGAGTTCGAGACCAGCTTGGTCAACATGGTGAAACCCCGTCTCTACTAAAAATACAAAAATTAACTGGGTGTGGTATCACATGCTCATAATTCCAGTTACTCAGGAGGCTGAGGCAGGAGAATCGCTTGAACCTGGGAGGGTTGCAGTGAGCTGAGATTGTGCCACTGTACTCCAGCCTGGGTAACAGAGCAAGACTCCATCTCAAAAAAACATATATACAAAAATTAGCTGAGTGTGGTCGTACATGCCTGTAATTCTAGCTGCTCAGGAGGCTGAGGTAGGAGAATCGCTTGAACCTGGGAGGCAGAGATTGCAGTGAGCAGAGATCGTGCCACTGCACTCCAGCCTGGCTGACAGAGTAAGACTCAGAAAGAAAGAAAAAGAAAATACAAACACTCCTACTTTGGAGACTGGTATGAAAACTAAATGAGAGGTGGAGACAATTCAGATGTCCATCAGTGAATGAATGGATACGCAAAACGTGGTCCATCCGTACAATGGCTGTTACTCATCCATGAAAAGGAATGAGGCCCTGAGCCCCGCTACAACGTGGAGAACCCTCCAAGTCATCACGCTATGGAAAAAGCCAGACACGAAAGGCTGTGTATTGTGTGATTCGATTCACGTGAAGTGTCCAGAACAGGAAGATCCACAGAGACAGAAAATAGATCGGTTGCCAGGCTGAGGCGGGGTGGGGAATGAGGACCGACTGCTTCATGGATATGGAGTTTCCTTTGGAGGTGATGAAAATGTTCTAAGATTGACCATGGGGATGGACTGCCTGTATCAGTGAACATACAAAAAAATCATAGAATTGCATGCTTTAAATGAGCGCATGCTACAGTCTGTGAATTACATCTCAGTAAGGCTGTTTAAGAAACATCAATGAGGCCGGGTGCGGTGGCTCATGCCTGTAATCCTAGCACTTTGGGAGCTGAGGTGGGTAGATCGCAAGGTCAGGAGTTTGAGACCAGCCTGGCCAATATGGTGAAACCCCATCTCTACTAAAAATACAAAAATCAGCCACACGTGGTGGAAGGTGCCTGTAATCCCAGCTACTTAGGAGGCTGAGGCTGGAGAATTTCTTGAACTCAGGAGTTGGAGGTGGCAGGGAGCCGAGATCACGCCACTGCACTCCAGCCTGGGCAACAGGGCAAGACTCTGTCTCAAAACGAAAGGAAAACATAAATGAGACTGGCAGTCGGGGCTCAGGCTCAGTAAACATCAGGTGAATCCACATTGGATTAAAACACAAAGAACAGGGCTGTGACATCTACCCGAGTTCCTGGTGCTGAGGGGTGTCAGGGCAGGTGTGACCAGGTCCGCTCCACTCTGAGCCACACAATTGGAAGGATAACCCCTGGAGGCCACCCTGGTTACAGAGACAGCTGGCATGGATCCAGTGGCAGGGAGGTCCTGGCTTGTGCCTGGGACCCAGGTAATTGTGACCAGCATCCCCTTTCAATCCCAGAAGCAGCCCTTGGGGTGATGCATCCCATGGCTGCCTGTGTCTTGGTGCTGCTGGGATACTCAGCCTTGAAAGCACATATCCCCAGTGCAGATTCTCCCAGGACTATCATCCTCAGTGACACTCACCCCGCCTGACGCCTACCCATGTGTCCACCCTCCCTTCTCCTTTCCATCCTGAAAATGTTCTCTGTCCTCTGGGGCCCCTGCACGGAGCCTTCCTCCACCTCCTCCCCTCTCCTCTGGGCTCCACGGGACAGACACGTCCCTGGTGAGACCCTCCCAGGCCCCTGCACCTGTGGCTCCACAACCTGGTTTTGAAAATGTTTTTGTAACTTGGTTTGCCATTAGAGGGGCTCCAGGCCTGTCTCCCTGGTGCACCTTGAGCTCCACGGGGCAAAGGTCAACCTCTTGTCCTACGGCTTCTCCCCACACCAGCCCCCATGCTGAGAAATGCTTCTTGCTGTGAGTGGTTCTTAATTATGAGCTGGGTCAACATCAGCTGGGAGCTTGTTAAAACATAGATGGCTCAGTGCCACTGCCCATGTCTCTGACTCAGTGGGCCTGGGGCGGCACCCAAGAGGCTACATTTATCCCAGGCTCCTGGTGATGCCACCACTGTGAGTTCAGAGAGTGGGCGCTGAGGACAACTGGCTTATTGAGGGGATGAGGGGACAGCCCTGCTCTCTGGCAGCCCATGCCCTAGGTGAGGAGTCAAGACCTGTCCTCCTTCCTCAGATGGCCCAGGCTAAACACTCCCTGGGCAGGTGCAGAGGGAAGTGGGGGTGACTCACCACGGTGGCCTGCTTCCGGTCTTCCGTGTTGTATGTGCAGGACGTGATAAGCACATCTCCCTGGGGAAAAGCCAACATGACCATTAACATCTGGCGTTGGCAGGTGCTTGAGGCTCTGTCCCCATGGGACCATGCCACTGTGTGTGCCAGGGCACCTCTGTTGTACGGTTGCTGTTATCCACTATGAGGAGTGCAGCAGGTTCATGTGTGAGGGTCACAGGCTGAGTGTCCCCAGGAAGTTATACACCATCAGCTCCTGCAGCCCAGTGGGTCACGCAGGGCGCAGGCCAGTGGGCGTGCAGGCTGCTGGGGCATGACACATCTCAGGGGACTTTGGCAAATCCCCACAGAGGCCTGGGCTTTCCCTTCTGAGGGATCAGGGCTTCACTGCCGGCCTCAGCACCCTCATCTCCTCCCAGACACTCTTGGGTTTGTGATTCAGCTGATTGGGCTGAGGACACACGTCCCCTAGGAGTGTCCTGTCTGGTCCCTCCCTTCCCATGTCCCTCTTTGAAGTCCTGCGTGAGTCTCCCCATGAGGTAGGCCAGCCCTGAGCCATCCACAGGAACCCTGCCCCTGCCCTGGCCATCTCTCTCCTCCCCACCTCACTTTCTCTGTCCTCCTTCTGGAGGCAACCCCAGCCCTCCCAGTCACCCCAGTTGGTGTCAGTGATGGGAACGGCCTTCCTGCTGGGCACTCACCCTATGGACCGACACGACCTTCTTCAGCATGCGGATCTCCTGGGGTAGGCAGAGCCGAGCAGTAGGGGGAGAGGAGACCTCAGAGAGCTGCAGACTGGACCCAAACCCCACAGCATCCTCCCTCAGGCCTCCCCAACCTCTGGGGTGTCCGTTTTGCCCCAGCCTCTACAGTAGAAGCCAGGGCTGGCTAAGTATAGCTTCTGGCCAAGGAGGGCATTGTATTCAAACTAGAAGGTGGTCATCTAAGACCAAGACCGATATGACTGGAGGGCTGCCTGGGTCTCCTGAGTCCCACCACCATCTGCCGTGTGCCAGACCCCCATCCCAGAGGCCATCCCTACGACCAGAAACCCAAGCAGGGAGTACAGGCCACATGGGGAGCCTGGCCCAGGAGAAAGAAGCCAGCCTGGGGCCGTCCCTATGGCATCGGTGACACTAGGCCCAGCAGGAGGCTTGGGGGCAGGGCTGGGGGTGGGGCGGGAGTGGGGCACAGGTCCCTACCTGGAACTGAGGGCTGTAGTGATTGTCCTGGTTCACGATCTCCCACTCTCGGCCGTCCCGGACCAGCATCGTGACCACCTTTCTCCCGGCCAGGTGTGTGTGGAGCTGAGAGGCGAAAATGTGGATCCCGGAGGGGGGCAGTGCCTGTGGGGTGAGGGTGGAGGGGCTGCAGTGTCAGGGCCCGACCCCCGAGGGGACCCTCCTGTCCATGGCCAGACTCGGCAGGGATCAGTGCCCTGGGCAGTTTGCTTCCCTGAAACACTTGAATTTTCCAGGTCTTTCTCCCCGGCCAGGTCAGAGCCACCATCAGAAACCTCACGGGGAATGACCTGCTCAAGAGTGAGGTGGCCATGACAGCCCCCAGCTCCCAAGGAAGCAGCCCCCAGTCCCACTCGGGAGAGACTTTCTTTCTGAGCCCTTGGTCCTCTCCTGAGCCTGCAAAGCCTGACGGGTCCAGCTTCACTCAGTCAACAGAGTCAACTTTAAGGTGAGTCCCCCATGGACAGGGAGTGGCAAAGCCACCAAGCTGAGTAGTGCGTGGTCTCTGTGCTCAAGGCCTTGCCATCCAGGGGACAAAAAGAGGTGGAAGGCCTTACTTGGCAGTGCCCTACGTGCTGGGCCGGGCAGGCCTTTCAGCTGCCCTGCAGTGTGGCCTCCTTTTGGCTTCAAGGCAGCCAAGGCTACGTTCTCCCTGTGCCCAGCATCGCCCCTGCCACAGCTGGGAGCTGCAGTTGCAACTGGAAGGTGGTCGTCCAAGACCAAGACGGATGTGACCACAGGGTGCTCTCAGCTGGGCGCTCTGAGGCTGCAGGCTGGCCTCACAGAAAAGAAAGCAGCCGTCACACCAAGAGGTCTCTCGCCAGCCATCACTGGGACATGAGAGAATCTTCCAGAGAGCAAAAGTTTTCTCTAACCAAATGCTAACTTTTTTAGATAGAAAATGCGTTTCCGTGGCCAGGCGTGGTGGCTCATGTCTATAATCCTGGCACTTTGGGAGGCCGAGGCAGGCAGATCACTTGAGGTCAGGAGTTTGAGACCAGCCTGGCCAACATGGTGAAACTCCTTCTCTACTAAAAATACAAAAATCAGCCAGGTGTGGTGGCAGTGTCTGTAGTCCCAGCTACTCAGGAGAATCCCTTGGACCCAGGAGGTGGAGGTTGCAGTGAGCTGAGATTGCACCACTGCACTCCAGCCTGGGTGACACAAGCAAAACTCTGTCTCAAAAAAAAAAACTAAGAGAAAGTGTTTCCTAAAATTGAGCCTTTTCTTTGTGAGTGAGTTGTCTCCTTGCCCACCCACTGCCAGGCTCTGCCCAGCTTGTTCATGCCTTCAGCAGCTCCCAGAGCTCAAGGTCCCATAAGCCCCATCCCTGAAAGTCAAGAATGGCCGAGCCTTTTACGACTCATCTGCTGTCACTATCACTCTTTCCCTCTCCCTCCCAAGCAGCAGCCACCCCTGAGCTTGCCGTCACTAATAGCTTTGTGTCCCTTGCAATGGCTTGAGGGGCCATGGTGTGCCAGGCCTGGAAGCCCAAAGGGTCGCAATGACCCTTTGGTGCCCAGAAGCTGACCCTGGCCTAGCCATGCCAGGCACAGCCAAGTAGAGGGAGGACCACGCTCCTCTGGGCACTCTGGTCCAAAGCAGCACTCTCTTCTTGGCCTATTTCACTGGGATATCTAGACTATGCCAGATTTTGGCTGCAGAATTTGTGCCCCTGTTATCTGCTAACGGGGAGACAAGACTGAACACTCTCATTCTGTCATGTAAGGTAGTAGGGGACTCTGGAAGGGGAGGTGGCTCTGCGTTCCTGGGGCTGGACAGAGGCATTCTCAGGGTCAGTGGTCAGTGGGGTCAAAGGCCCCAAGGCCTCGCAAGGGGCAGTGGGTGCTGCCGGCCTGAGGCCACTCTTCCCCATGAGCCCTGGCCACGGAGCCTTTTACACGGGCCCACGCTTCACCAGTGGGGGCTTTAGGGAAGTGGGAGAGAGTGTCCACTGCAGAGTGGGGTTTAAGATTTCTCAGCCCAGTCTCGGACAAAGAGAACTGATTTCCTGTGGGAGACCATGGGTCCCATGCCAGCCGAGAGCTCCATCTCCCGTCAGCCTTGAGGAACCTTTGCTTGGAAGACTGGGATGGTCTGGGGGCTTCCCCACAAGAAGAAAAAATCCTAATCGACTCATTTACTGGGAAGGAAAATTCACTATAAACCTCATTACGACGCGATCTGCTGCCATGGACACAGCTTTCAAAGTCAGACAGGCTGGTATCTGAATCTCCACTCGGCGCGACTGCTGGCAATGTGATCCCAGCAAGCCTCAGCCTCCTCATCTGTGAAATGGGTACGTCAACACTTACCTTCTGAGTCATTATGAGAAGTAAAGCTACCACACAGGAAGAAATGTTCATAACACACACACACTAGGAAATAGCATCCGTCATATAAGAAGAAAAACAAACCACCGACTGAAAAAAACCGAGCACAGGAATGAACACAAAAGAGGAGCAAGCGGCCAAGAGGCAGATGAGAAGGTCCTCAGGTCCACACACAGAAAATCCAAGTTAAACAGCACTGACACGGCTTCCTCCCAAATGACTGAGAAAATATTTACAATTATTATTGATCCAGTGGGTCAGTAAGTCTGGCACTTACCCGGTCAGTGAAACCGGGGACCCTCTCATCCTGTGTGTGGGAGGAGGCAGCAGATGGGCTTTCTGAGGGGCATTGGGTAAGATTTAGTCAAAGGAACACTCACATCTCTGAGCAGCAATTTCACGTCTAGAAATCTACATGAGAAAATGGTTTCCTGCATGGACAAGGATTTTTGCGAAGCTTCTTTCTATTGGTGAAAAGTTGACAACAGCCTAGACACTGATTGACAGGGAGACAGTTCAGCACAGGCTCCGACCAAGATAGGGCAAGCACAGGAGGAGATTTTAGTAGCCACGGCCCGATCTCACCAGAGGCCAAGGCCCTGCTGTTGGTGCCAGAGCCTAAGCGCCAACCTGTGCCTCCACCCAGTGTGCACAGCCCTGAGGACGGGTGCTCCCTGAGATCCTGTAGCTGGTGCCTCACTGCCTCACCTAGTCCTGCCCTGCTCAGGTACATGGTGAAAACCCCATCCTGTGGAATACTATGCAGCAATAAAAAGGCAAATCACAGGACGAATGACTCCATTTGTTGAAAAATTTGTAAACTATTCAATACAACTCTAAAAAAACCACAAAAAATTTCCAGCACCTGCCAGGGCTTCCTGAAATACAAAGGAGAAAGGTCTGGAAGGACACAAAGAGCCGACAAGTGGGTATCTCGGGGAGAGGCGGCAGCGGGTAAGGAGAGCGTTCTCTTTAGCTGCAGTGCCTGTGCTTTTGAGTGGCAAGTGCATGTGTGTATTGCTTACATAACGATGGCATATTTTAAAATGCAGTGCGTGGAAGCCTGGCACGTGGGTGTGGACTAGTGGGAGCCATGGTTATTGCTGGAGAGGGAGGTGCACACACACACGTGGCCTCTCAGCAGGAAGGCTCCCTTGCATACAGAAGAGAGGGAGGACCACAGGGGATTCAGGGTCAGGGGAGCCAAAGCTGTGCCTGCCAGCCTTCTTGGGCCACCACCTGCCAGGCCTCCACTGGGGGACGAGGGAGGAGGAAGAGTGCCATGCCGGGCCCAGTCCCACTCACCAGCTGGGTGCAACTGTCCGTGCAGTAGCCTGTGAGGACGAAGTCAGTCTCCTGCGGTGGAATGGCCATCACTGGCGTGTACACCAGCCCCAGCTCCATGATCCCGGCGTCGAAGCGCCGCAGGGTAGGGGTGTAGTACAGGCGGATGCCTGAGGAGTCGTGCTGTCCTGGGAGAAGGTGGGATGGATGGAGGTGAGCGGGGAGTGGAGGCCCTCTCACTTCCCACTGCTGACAGATTATCGCTCTGACCCTAGCCGCCCTCAGCCAGGAGGCAGGGCCGGTCACCCCACAATCCGCTCCCACCCGCGAGGCAGACCAAGAGCCAGCTGTCTTTGTTCCCACACCTGTGGGTGCCAGGCAGCGAGCAAGATCAATCGACACAAACAGGCTACACTCCCTGGGAAGAAAGCACTGTTGTTTCTCTGAAAACAACAGTGATCAAGGGGAGTCACTTAAAGCTGGCCAGGGAATCAGGTGTGGGTGAAACGCTACTGATACACTGGGAAATCCTGAAGGACTTGCATTCTGTGCTCAGATTGCTTCATAAATGCTTTGATGTTCTTATTCCACGTTCAAAGGAGACTTAGCTGGAAATCAGCCTGCAGGATGGTGACCACCTACCAGTTGTGGTCTGGGGGAAGAAGAGGGCATGGAACTCCCATCTGCTGATGGAGCAGAAGAGCCCTAGCCCCACATCAAAGCTAGGCAAGTGTGAGTGTATCTCTGTGTTGAGGTTAACAAGAAGCTTTCAAGGAGCACATCCTCCCTGCAGCCCCCACTTTTACTACTTTGATTTCTGTCCTGCAGACCCAAGGAATCCACCTACCCAGCTGATGTCTCAGGAACAATCTGAGCGAGAATGTGGCCCCAGGAGGAGGGCCAGTATTGCAGGTCCAGCCCCTAACCATGCATGGCCCCAGGTCCCGCCTGGTCAACAGTATGCTGTATGCTCTCCGATGACTTGCTGTCCCTCTCTGGGCCTCAGTCAAGGGCCTCTTCCAGAGGAAAACGTGCTGCTGCTTCCTATCACAGAGACTGTGTATCTCTTGATTGTGGTTTGGCTACACCTGTTGCTTCTTGTGATTTGCTAACTGGAGAGTCCCTGAAGCTCCCTGGGCAGGCCTCCCAGCAGTCACATGAAACTGATGGTCAGAGGTCCAGGAGGCTGGACGTGGTGGCTCATACCTGTAATACCAGCACTTTGGGAGGCAGAGGCAGGTAGATCACCTGAGGTCGGGAGTTCGAGACCAGCCAGGCCAGCAAGACAAAACCCCGTCTCTACTAAAAATACAAAAATTATCTGGGCGTGGTACCATGAGCCCATAATCCCAGCTACACGGGAGGCTGAGGCAGAAGAGTTGCTTGAACCTGGGAGGTGGAGGTTGCAGTAAGCTGAGACCGTGCCACTACACTCCAGCCTGGGTGACAGAGTGAGACTTCGTCTCAGAACAAAAAAACACAAAAACAGAGGTTCAGGGATGCTGACACCCACTGGAACATCCTCAAAACCAGGCGTCTTCCAGAGAGCCCTGCTGTTCCTGAAACTCCATGCCTGGTGAATCAGCAGCCAGGTTCTGAGTGCAGGCTGAGCTCATGGCAAGGGATGGGGTGTTCTGAAGGCCTGGCCATAGCCCAGTGCCCCTAGATGCATGGTGGACATGGCAGGATGGTCAGGAGGGGCTGTGCAGCAGGAGGCTCCGCCCCTGGGTTACTTATAGGAAAAGGATGTCAGGCGGCAAGGATTGTGAAACTGACAAGGGGTTTTAATTCTCAGGGACAAGGCTTCTGATGAAGATGAAGTGGGAAAAAAAAAAAAAAACAGATAAAAAGTTCTGGTCACAAGAAAAAATTAATGGGCCAGAAAAGCAGTCAGGACAGACACATAGCCGGTGACCAGTGCTCGCTTCAAATCCGGGAGCTGGGAGGCAGGGAATGGTTCCACCTTCTTCATGCTTTTTTGCTCTCCAGCAGTGTACATGCATTGCCCTTTCTGATCAAACAAATAAGAGGGTGGTACAGATACCAACATCTTCCCTGGGTGCCAGAAATCGTCTAGACATAACCTATCCCCTTCATAAGAGTTTCGCACAGTAAGTTCCCCATTTCACAGATGAGGGAACCAAGGACGGGGCCTGAACCGAAGACTCCACTCGGGATCACAGGGCTGGGAAGTGGCCAAGCTGGGATTCAAACCAGGGTTGTGAACTGGGCTCAGGGCATCGTCAGGGGCTCCAGCCACCTCCCTGCTTCCTTCCTCTAAGGTGAGGCCAAAACACCTCCTCTTGCCTCTGCCTTCTTCCCTGGACACCCCTGCACCATCCAAACTCAAACGGCTCCTGTATCTCCGGGCTGATTGCATCAGAGGATAATAATAAAAAGGGTGTTGCAATTGGTTAAACTTCAGATGGGGATTAAATCATGAAATAATTGTGGGATTTTGATATTTATAGAAAAGCAGCCCATCTCGAGATTGGTGAAGTGGCAGGAGCGTCCTTATATTTGGCAACGGATCCATAAATACAACTAGATAATCATGAACAGACAGACTTCCCTGATGCTTAGGGAGTTTTCAAAAACCCATTTGCTTTCAGGGCTTAAATGAGCAATAAATCCTGTATCATGCTAAGGCCCAAGCTGACTTATACCCATCCCTGTGCGTGTGGAGAGAACGCTGACAGCAGCGGAAGGTATTACATATGCAGCCAGGGAAAAACCACAGACAACTGTTGGCTGGGCACAGCCCCATGCCAACACACAGCAAGTTCTGTGCGTGAGCCTTTCCCAGCTTCACAGCAGCTGTGGGAGGCAGGAGAATAGGCAGAGGGTGAGGTCACCACCACCCCGCCCAGCGGCATCCCCGAGGTGGGGAGTCACAGCCTAGCACTTATCTCTTAGGCTGCTTCTGCACTTTGCACAAATGGAAATAAGTGCCATTCAGAGAGAGAGAGTGTGTGTGCGTGTGTGTGTGCACGAGTGTGTGCATGTGGGTGCGTGTGTGTGCATGTGTATGTGTGTGCGTGTGTGTGTCTATATATGGTAGAAGATGCTAGTGCAACAGAGAGAGGGAAGTATTTTCAGTTTCTGAGACAGTGTCGCCTGGCCTTGCCATGCTAAAGGCTGACCCTGCTTCATCCTCCCTCAGGTCTGGATGACCCAGCAGCTGCTGCCCCAGCTCCCCTTCCTGTGCCTGCTCTGTGGCCAGGCTGGACGTCCTGTGTCTCCAGACATGCCCTGTTTTACCCCTTCCCTGTGTATGCACACACCACTGCCTCATTCTGGAGCTTGGCATCTGGCGGCTTCCCTTATGAAAATTCCCCTTGTCCTTTCCCACGTGGGGTATCCCCAAGACGAACAGTGCTGCACTGAGGGCAGCCAGTATTATAGGGACAAGGAGGAGGTGTGGGGCCATTGCTGGGCCCTGGTGATGCCATGAGGAGTGAGCCCCATGAGGCCCTGTCCCTGGGAGCCCACTACAGCCATGGACAATGGAGAGCAGACAAGGCCGACGCAAGGGCCATGTGCCAAGAACAGCCGGACAGCAGACGAGCCATGCAGGGCACTCAAAGGGTGGGATTTCCTCCCTGGCTCAACACAGCTGAGCCCTGGGGCTTTTAAGGGGAGAATGGCGGCAGAGCCCCCTACCTTCTTTCACCAGAGGGTTGTGGTAGTGAATTTCCAGGCGGAGATATCTGGAAGACCCAGGGCCCCCGAAGGCAAGGCCGGCTTCCTCTGGGTAGTAAAATGCCTGTGTGGAGCAGGGTGTCAGACAGATGGGTGTGTCCTGAGAGGGTCCCACGTGGGGACAGGGGCAAACCCAGCCAGTCCTTGGGGCCTGAGCTGCAGGGGTGGTGGAGGGGACGCAGCAGGATTAGGGCGACACTTCCTCCTACAGGTAGCTGTTTGCGCTCCCCAGGGACAACCTATGAAACTCAGGTCAGAGAGTTGGGGAGAGAAGCTGGTGCCTGGGGCTGAGCCTTTCCCTGAAACCCCTTCTCTAGATGGGTGGGAGAGCTGGCGAGATCCCCAGTGTCAGCCTGTGGAGGCTTCAACACTGGTCCCACCACCAGCCAGCCCTGGGACCACTCTGCACAAAACCCTGACTCCAGGACCCACTGAGGGCATGCACTCCTGGGCACTCTCGTTTCTATGGAAAATAACAAAGGCTGGAAACAGGTGGAATTTCAGGCATCACAGAGGCGAGGAGGCCACCTCAGGGCTGGCCCTGCTGGTGGCCTCGTGGGTCCCCTTAGGAGCTCCTTCTTGGGGCCTCCGAGACAGTGAAGCTGGGGAAACAGGACTGGGGGAACTCCAGAGGCCCAGGCAGGAGACGCCACCCTGGGGTCACGGGGCACGCACCTTGGCACCCAGGGCCCAGGCAGCCAGCACGCGGCGGCAATAGTTGAGGTTGTCGGGTTTTTTCTCAGAGTCACAGGGCCCGCTGAAGTAGGGAACGCTGTCCATCTCGGGGGGGCACTGGAAGACCTCCATGTGGTGCACGAGTCCCTCGTTGCCCTTGGTGACAATGGGCTCGTACTGCAGGGAGGCAGCCCCCTGAGCCCGGGGAACTAGCCCCTGCCCTCCCCTCCCCAGCAGCGTCCCTCCACAGGCCTCCATCTGCCCATCTATAAAATGGGAGGGATGATCAGGGCAATTCCAGGGGCACTTCTGGGGCTCAGGGCCGTGAGGGTGGAGCCACCAGCCCAGAAGCAGACAGAAAGCCTGTAGAGACCTCCAGGGTTAAGGAACTGAGGTTCATATAGGCCATTTCCTGCCAAGGCAGGGACAAGACACAGCTGTCCTCATTTATATGGGGCCATGGCCGGCCAGCTCCTGCAGCCCCAGTGGGAGTCAGGGCAGCCCCGAGGATAGAGCCTGGGCCGCTAGCATACCTTCAAGGTCATGCCCTTTCCTGCTGTGTGACTCTGGGCACTCATATAACCTCTCTCAGCGAACCTTCAAAGCCATGCCCCTTCCTGCTGTGTGTCTCTGGATGCTCACATAACCTCTCTGGGCTTTGCTTCCTCTGCTGGAAACTGGGGGCTATTGTGATGAAGGAGGGCTCACTGTGCCCCTCCCCCAGGGCCAGTGGCATAGTGGACACTCGACAGCTATTGCCTTTGCTATTCTGTCTTCCTCGGGGAAGGGGGGTGTTCTACAGCAAGTGAGTTCTGACTGGAGCTGCTTTTTCGTGAAGGGGGAGGTGGCCTGACAGACAGACAGCAGTTGCAGTCCCAAGGAAAGATGCAGAAGCCAAGATCTTGGTTGCTTTGGTCCAGGCAGGGAAGTGGGAGCTCAGAGGCCCCTTCAGGGTGGGGAGTGAGCAGGGTGACAGGGAAGAGAGGCCACTCACTGCTCCTGCAGGACTTCAGGCAGGCGCCTGAAACCTGCTGGTGATAAGAGGCCCCCTGGTCCAACCAGGACCATGGACAGCTCTCCAGGGTGAGGGACAACCCAGGTGGCGGCGAGTGGGGGGGGGCGGGGTCAGGGGCTGGGGAGCTGGGGTGTGTGTCAGGGAGGCAGAGCTGGGTGAGGACTCAGGCCCTGGACCCACACATACCATGACGATGTGGTGCCGGGGGAAGCCCTTGGGGAGCTCTTTGACATGGCACCAGTATGTGGTCTCCTGGCTGGGGATGCGGATGTTGGGGGCGTGGATCTCCATGGTGTACGTGTCTGAGGGCAACGCCGGGTTGGGGATGTCTGGCTTCAGGAGCTGCACCCTCTGCAGCCCCATCCGCAGGCCTGAGGTGTTAATGGCCTCCAGCGACTGGAACGGCTTCTCCAGGATCCCGTACACCAAGTGGACGGTGCCGTCCTGCAGCCAAGACAGGGCTCAGTGGGTCACCCACTCAGAGTCCCCAGAATTGGGCTCCTGAGTGGATTCCATGTCCCTGTCCACCCACACCTGCCAAATGGCATACCTCGCTCTAGTCTTTGTGAATAAGGGACCCTTGAGGCTGGCAGCTAGTGTGGCCAGGACATTTGTTCCCTCCACCAACCCCAAGGTCACTGTGGACTGGGTTTGGGGGTCATTGGTCAGATCAGCAGCCCAGCCTGAGGAGTCAGTGCCCTCTACAAAAGGAAGGAAATATCCTGGGGTTTGCTGACGGCCACACTGAGCTGTGGAGCCCCGCTACGTCACATAGTCACCACCAGCGGGCAGGAGGGGACCAAGCAGCCAGAGAAGGCTTCGTGGGTCTTCGCGGTGCTGAAGGTCATGGGCAGACTCAGGAGGCAGGACGTGGGGGCTGGCTCCGTCACACGCAATTGTGAGTGGACACGGGGGTTGGGTGTGGAAAGTGCCTTTTGTAGCTCTCTGTGCACCGTGGGTGCAGACCTATGTGAGTGGCTAATTTGCTTTTTGAGTTTGTGGAAAGCCGGTGAGCCGCCCAGTGCAGAGGACACCCAGAGCTCCAGCAGAGGCCCGTATAGCTGGCCTGGAGCCTCTGGGCTGAGTACACACAGGCACTGGCGTCCTCTGTGAGGTTCCGGAGGATTCTCTGCTCACTCTTGCCTCTACACTGGGAAGCAACAGCCTCCTGGAAGAACCTCTTCCAGCGCCAGCTCTGGCCCTCTGGGACGTCCACTCCACCCCTCTCTGGGCTTCTGTTTCCTCACCTGGCAAACAGCCAGCCACTCTGTTTCCTTAGATTCAATATTTCTCTGTTTGGCATCTATTAATTAGTAGCAGGGTCAAAGAGACGGCCAGAATTGTCTGCACCTGCCCTGCCCTCCAACGTTCACACTTGTGTGAGAATCATATTCCCAACCCTCCAGGGCATCCCAAGCCCAAATCCCTAGCCACCCCCTCCACCTGACTCACACCCCAGGCCAATATTGCCCCAGCCCTAAATCATCCTAGGGCCAGGAACCAGGTGACTAGAGACCACCGCAGCCACCCAGAGCCCACCAGAATTGTCTAAATGAAGCTGTTTGCCTGCCCTGCCTGGCCTTTCCCAATGGAACCCCCAAGAAAGCCTCAGGTCTGGGTTCTGCCCTGGCTCCTGTGTCTGCCTCCTGATCAAACTCAGGGCTCCTCAGTGGCCCTGTATGGCACAGGTGTCCCTCCTCCTGGGAAATGCAATAAATCTTTCAATGGCACTGGCCTCCTGTGTGGTCACTCAGACCCCCTGCATGGATTAAGACCTGGCCCTAACTGCCAGCCCCTGCCACTGCCACCCAAAGCGTTACTTACACAAGACAAAAGGAGTCAAGGTGAACTAGAGTTAAAAGCGTTTCGTCTTCAAGGGGAAGGTGGGTTGCTTTTCCTAACAGGTGGGGGGACTCTTAAAGCAGCATAAGGAGCCAAGGGTTTTTTCAAGGTTTTGTGGCCATGAGCTCCCAGACAGAGTTGGTCAGGACTCACAGATCGTCTAGTTCCCATCCCCATTTTACAGATGGGCAAAGTGAGGTCCAGAGCCTCACAGCAAGCTGTCGACAGAGCCGGGTTGGAAAGCCGGGTCTCCTGGTTCCAAATCCCACCTGACATTGAAGGGACCAGGAGGAGAGAGACACCCAGGAGTAAGGTCTAACCCAAAGGGAGAGGCTCTGGCGCAAGCCCCCCATCCAGAAACCCCGCCCTCAGTGCCCCAGCCCTGCCACTGCTTCTGGGTCACCCTCCTCGGCTTTCTCTGTCGTAGCTGGCTGGGCCCAGGCCCCAGACTTATCAAGACAGGAAAGGTACCGTGACATTGGTGCAGGTGACATGCCCATGCAGCCCACGCTCTCGTGGGTGCTCGGGGCCACCCCTACCTCAATGAGGTAATCCTTGGGGTCGCAGGTGCCAAAGGGCCTCTTGAAAAGCAGGACCAGGCCTTCCGGAGTCCTCTGCACCTGCAGCAGCTGGTAGTCCTGCTGGGGATCCAGGTGGATCTGCCCATTCTGGTCACTCCAGGCATCCTGCAGAGACAAGCCCTGGGCTTCAGGCACGCAGGAGCCAAGCCGGGCGGATCCGCAGGGGAAGAGGCCATCCCCCGGCAGAGCTCGGCGTCCCCCGGCAGAGCTCCATGTCCATTGCCCGCAGGGTGGGGGATGCCGGGCCTGAGTCCCTGTGTTCTGGGGGTTGGGGCTCCACTCACACCTTCTATGTCCCTTTCTGCCTGGAGACAGTGGCGTTGAGCCCCAACGGTGCTCCCCTCCTCTGCAACCAGGAACCAGGGCTCTCGATTACCAGCCTGTCACAGGCTCTATGAGCCATGGGGGTTACCAGGCCTGGGGGGTTGGGACTCTGAGCTTCTTAAGAAGGTGCCCGAGGCTCCCAAGGCCTCACCAGGACTGGAAACGAGGGCCTCAGGCCAATGCTACTCTCGATCAGGCAGGTGGGAGGGGTGCCGAGCCTCAGAAAGGGGAGAGTCGGGGACAGGGTGGGACATGAACTGGAAGGGAGAGAGAAACCAGGGTGCCACAGTAAGGTGGGGATTGCTCCCAGGTGCCCACCCTGCGCTGGCACAACCCTGAGAGCAAGCACTGCTTTAGTACTTTATGTGTGTGTGTGTAATTTTTAATTTTTGTTTGTAGAGATAGGGTCTCGGTCTCACTATGTTGCCCAGGCTGGTCTTGAACTCCTGGCCTCAAGCAATCCTCCATAGCCCTTCTAAAGTGCTGGAATTACAGGCGTAAGCCACCACACCCAGCCCAAACCACCACTTTAAACTCTGTGCCTAGGCACTGCTCCCCTCACCCTAGTCCCAGCCCTGCTTGGAGAAGGTAAACTGAGGCCCAGGGAGGAATCGTACCCGCTGCATTCTCGCAGGATGCTTCCTGGGATCTGGACCGGCATCCTCTGCCCTCCCCGCCCCCATCTGCAGGGGACTTGCACTGGGCCCTAAGGGGCAGGGACATGGTGGCCCCAGGCCAGGTCACATGGGAGAAGACCGCCAGGGAGACCCACTGAGAGACAAGGAAGAGTCTCCCCAGACGAACAGGCTGCTCTTCACACTCAAGCATCCCACGGGCTCTTGGCGGTAAGGACTGCAGGTTGTGTTTCTTTTTAATCTTACATTCAGGGCTAAAACATCTTCTCTACGTTTCCCTGAGAAAAAAGAAATCTGCAAAAGATGTTGCCAAATTTTCCCTAGAGAAAAAAGCCATGCAGTGCAGCCCTGCCGGGGACACTGCGGGTTTGCCGAGAGACTCATTTTCAACAGAGGCAGAAAGTTCGCCTGTGATATTTCAGCTGGAAATCAAGCAGGTATTAGTTGAACATACTGCTTAGGGAGGAATAACAAGGCTGACATTTGTTTTCCTAGGAATTTGTTGTGCAAATTAACCTTGCCAGGGACGGAAAGGCAAAGTCACCTGGCTTCCTCTGGCTTCCCTAGCAGCCGAGAGAGGCAGGCAGCGGGACACTGCCCCAGCGAGGAGCAAATACTCCTGTATTCAGGGTGCCTCAGGCAGAGTAACGAAGGACTCCAAAGCTAGCGAAGGGGCTCAACTGCTCCTCCAGACAGCTGATGGCTCAGAACCAGGGCTGTCCCAGGTCCTTCTCAGCTGGGCCTGAGCCACAGTGTCTTTGTGCATGGGAATCCATGCAGCCCCGTGGGTCAGAGCAGGGCCCTTCCCAGGCAGCTCCACCCACCCTACCTGGGTGGCTCTAAGCCTGACCGGTGACATGGGCAAGTGCCTTCTGGCTGAGTTGTGGGGATTGGAGGGAGCAAGCTTAGCTCCAGAAACAGCAGCCACTGTCTGCCCTCATGAACTCACAAAACCCAAAAAGGCAGAGAGGGACTGTCCGCCCTACCACCCCATGGTGACACCAAGGCACAGAGCTGGGGCCAGTCGCCCCACACAGACTCCACTCCACTGGCTCCAGCTCTGTGCTCACAGATCAAGCAAGCACCTCCTGACTTGGGAAACAGAACTCTGTGGCCCTCTGTTGTCTGTTTCTGTGGAGAGAGGGGTTTCATCCACAAAGAGGCCCTGGTGGCCAGTCCCATATTGGAAGGAAGGAGGGAGCAGGACACATGGTAGGCAGTGGGCTCGCCCACTTCGGGACCCCTTGCAGCTTGTGGAAGGGCCTAAAGTCCTCTCCAGTTTGAAGGGAAACTTCTCCCCTTTCTCCACCCTGTGGGGCAAGAGTGGAGGTACATTTGGAAGGAAGGGGGTCAGAGCCCATCCCAACAGTTCCAGCTGAGCCCTGTGGGCTTTGCTTCACGCCTGTGGGTGGGGACAGGGTGTCTGCCCTGCTCAGTGGGTCCATGGGTGCAAGCCCAGTGGATCGGGCTGCATCCCATGGGTGCGCAGGCGTCAAGCTGTGCCCGGCCATAAGCCACCACCTGGCCCATGTCAGTGGGCATGTGTGCTCTGGGGATGTGGTACTGGGCATTGTTTATAGGACCAGGGGTCATGGGATCTGTGCTCATGCACGTGTGGGGTGTGGGGTGGCAGGAGTCTGTGTGGTGTGTGCGTCCTCTGTATGTAGCTCCATTCCCAGGGATTGCTGGGTCCGTGATCTGGGCTGGGCAGTCAGGGACCGTGGAAAGCATGTCTTTCCTATTTTATCCTCAAATTGACATCCCCATGATGCCCAAACTCAGGTGCAGACTTGGCTCAGAGCAGTCAACTCAAACACTGAGTGGTGGCAGAAAACTTTCTGGGCTAAGGAGGGTGAGTGTAGAAAGATGGCCAGCTGAGAAAGTTCTGGAAATTTAGCAGGGAGGAGAGACTTACCGCAAAATAGGCAGTGTCCCCGTCAGTCCAGAGCACCACCAGGTCTGCGTTCTCAGGCTTGCCACGGTCGGACATCCCAAACAGGACCCCAGCCTTGAGCCGCCGCACCAGGAGCTGGAAGTCAATGGCCTCCTGGGCATAGCTGATGTTCCACGAGAGCTCCAGGAACCCCTCGGGGTCCAGGGGAATGTGGTAGGGCAAGCGGCTCTCAGTGGGAGCAGAGCCCTGCAGTGCGGCCACCAGGATGACCAGGAAGACGGCCACTGCTGTGCCGTACATGGAGGCCGCCTCCCACACGCTGGGGCTGGGCAGGCTGGCCCAGTGACAGCAACGACCAGGGGCCTGCATGGCTGGGGTGAGCTCTTCAGTCCCACTTGGCCATTTATGCCCCAGTCCTGCATGGGGTGGGTCCAGGCAGCAAGGGTAATCACATTTGTCTGGTGGGGAATTCAATTGTCCCTCCCGCAAGCCTGCGCCCCAGGCCAAGTGCTCTGCCTGCTTCCCTCTGCTAATTAGCGCTAATGATACATGGACGTTGTCAGTGGGAGTTGAAGCAGACAGGCGGATGCTGTCCCTTCTGAGATGGCCCTGAAGAGGTGTCCCAAAAGCAGATCCCCCTACAGCCAAGAAGCCCTTCAGATGTCCTCTGGCCCGGAGCCGGCTGGTGCCTCACAGTCTGTCTGGTCCAGTCCGCAGTGGGGTGGTGTCTGTGCCACCTCCACCCACTGACCAGCAGGTTGAGGTCCGAGGGGCTGCTCCAGGCTGACAGTGAAGGATGGGCCCGTAGCCACTGCAGGCCTGGCCCAGCGAGCAGAGCCGTTTGTACAATACTAGCGGGTGGGCCCATTTCAAACCAAAAATAAGACAATCTCCAAATAGTCCCTGTGTTTAGACACTCTCTCCACGGCCTGCTGTTCCCACTTTTGTCTCCTCTCAATTTTCCCAGTCTCCAGCTGGCACCACGGCTGCTCCAGAAGGCATGAGAGCATTGCAGGGGGTGGGGGACATGGGTGTGGGGTGCATCGCTGGGGACAGATGGAACCGGAGGTGCACAGGGGATAGGCAGGCTGCTGGTTGCACTGCTGGGGGTGACAGCCTTGAAGGAAAAGGGTGAGTGACAGGCCTGCTCCCCTGTCTCTGAAGCTCCCAAACCCACAGCTTCCTCTTGTCCAGAGCAGATCTGGCCTGAATCTGAACCCTCTCAGGGAAGCCGGCCCCAGCACTGCTTCTCCCACACCTGCCGCAGGACCTTTGCCATTACCCACCCATGGGCCCGAGGGCCAGTCTCACTGCAGCGCCACGCCCTCCTGTCCTCTCCTGCAGCAGACTGGCTGCCTCTAGGACATTCTGCTTGATCCTCCCAGCTCCCCCCACCAGGCTGGACTGATAGACCTCTCCAGCTGAACCAGAAGCCTTCTCCCTTCCCTCCTCCCTCCCTTCCTTCCCTTTTTCTCCTCATGTTTCTCCCCTTTAGAGAAACCCAGAGTCTAGCCTTAGGGGCACATTAATGTTATAGGCTGACGTCGACATTTCAGCCCTCAAATATCCATGACGGCAGATCCGGAGGTCAGTTCAGCTCTGAGCTCTGTGCTGTGGAAAGGAATGACTGTGTCTTTGCATGAGCGTGAAATTTCGAGAAAGTGCCAACCTTCCCCTGGCCCTGGCAGGTGGTGCCTCTCTGCCCCACAGTGGCCAGGCCATCCTGCAAAGCAAGTGCAGGCCATGAGCCCTCCCCACTGACTGCACCCAGAGGGCACCATTCACCCCCATCCGCAGCCCAGGCAGGTGAGGACCAAGTGCCTGAGCACCTCTGAGATGGAGTGTGGCACTGGCTTGAAACTGACTCCCAGACCAGGGGAAAGACACTCTTGGGAGTTCTCTGCCGAGCCTCTCTGAAGGCCTGGCTTTCCCATCAGGTCGTGCCACTTCCCTTGCCTGAGAGCACCTCACCTCCATGACTCAGATTATTTCCAAAACCTCTTCGCCTGTGCCACATAAGCAGGTGTCTGGCATTGAGATAATAGCGCATCCTGGACATTGACTTCTGGGATCGGAGAGTGGCCACAGCCAGCCAGTGACATGAAGAGCCTCCAGGGTGGGCAGGCACTGTGTTTCTAGCACGGGATGACTAAAGCCAGCAGAGGCGGAGGTAGGGGCCGGGGGCTCGACGGCACACCCACCTCAGGGGTGAGTCCTCCCAAGTGGCCTGCTGGCCACCCAGGTGGCTCCAGCTAGACAGGCTAAGAGAGCACCAGCTGGGGCCTGAGCTGTGGGGAGGGGATACCTCTCTCCCCTCTGGAGTAGTGAGGCCCCCGGTGCTCCTCCTGCTCCTCCAGGGCTCTGGGGTCACATCCTGCTCTGCCCTCCTGAATACGAAGCTGGAGTTCTCAGAGAAGCACTTTCCAGCCCAGTGCCTCCTCCCCATCTGCAGACGGAGGAAGTTGGATGACAAGGACAATTGATCCCTCCATCTTCCTTCAACACAGCAGTTCTGGGGAGTGAGAGGCAGCTAGGCCTGGGAGCCAGAGCCCCCGAAGCTGCCAGCCCTCAAGCGGCTCACCACACCTCCCAGCCTCGCTCCTCTCCTGGATACGCGAGAGACTCACAGCCGCTGGGAGCTCCAGGGAGGGACAGCAGGTGCAGTCTTGTCCACAGCAGTGTTATGCACACATGTTTATTTTTAACAGGAATCAAAAGATATTTTCTTTATCCAACTCAAAACCAGCTTTCCTCTCGCATTTGATGGAAATGATTCAGCTGATTCTGAAATAATGATGACCAAGCCCGAGGGAGGAGCAGGAAACACAAGTCAGGCTGCCCCAGGGCTTGCCCTGCTTTGCCCCCTCCATCCTGGCCGGCCTTGGGTGGCTGGGTGTTCGATCATCCATCTCAGACACAGGAGAGGCAGCCTCAGAGAGGCCAGACAACAAACATGCCTGAGCTCATACAGCCCCCAGCGGCACAGGGCAGGCCAGTGCCCGGGTCAGGGACCCCAAAGAGTATGCCCTGAGCTGGAGGGGGCTGCACACCTTGGCAGCCAAGGTCAGAAAAATTCCACTGGAGTCAGGAAGAAGGGATGCTCTGATGAGAAATGCAACCACAGAGAAAATCTGCGGAGGCTGGGGCCGGGCGGGAGGGAGCAGATCCAATCGGATGGCCTGTGGCTGTGCCCTTCCTTGCATTAATGGATTTTAAAAGGGAGCAATCTGACCCCAGGGTAAGGAAGCAGCGGTCAGCTCTCCTCCTGCCCTCACATTCCTTGGAGGTGACACCTGCCTGCCAGGTGCTCTCTCGGGTGGGCACAGGCCTCCCTGTGGTGCCCTAAGGGGGCCTTCCTCCCTGCTCCCACCCGGCTGGCCCTGCTCTGGTGTCTGGGTGCAACTTGCCCTCCAGAGGCGTGGGTGGGGGTGGGGGAGGCTGGGGCGGCCCAGGGTGTCACGGCCACCATGTCAGGAAATAAGCCACATTCCTGCTACTCAGCGCCTGGCTTCCCTCCAAGGTGCATCGACGGCTGACCTCATTTAGAACCAATTTCAGCGTTTCAATAAGCCCTTTGGTTTCCTGCATCTCTGATGCCATCGGCTTTGCAGGCTGTAATTCCCCATCGCCTCTGCCACGCGAGGCTGGCTCCTGCTGACGTCCTAACCTGGGGCAGTGAGAGCCCTGAGTGAAGCGACTGGGGTGCAGACTGGAGCTGGGTGGGTGAACAGGCCAGGCCACTCCCCAGCGACAATGGGGCCTGGCCATGGGACAGTACTAACCTTCACCTGTGACTCAGGCTCTTAGGGATCTCCTGTTGGCAGGAAAAATTAAACTATCAAGCTGATGGCGGTGCCTAGACCTGGCATGTGATGGGACGGATTGGGAGCTGTGGGGAGATGGTGACTCTGTCCACCATAGAGGCCACTCTAGGGTGGCACTGTCCCCTTGGGGAACTTGGGGCTGCTGACCTACGTCCCTCCTCTTCCTGAGCATAGGGGCTGTGGTATGAAGGTTAAGAAGCGCATTCTGGGCTGGACACGGTGGTTTATACTTATAATCCCAGGACTTTGGGAGGCAGAGAGGGGAGGATGGCTTGAACCCAGGAGTTCGGGACCAACCTGGGCAACATAGCATGAACCAGTCTCTACCAAAATAAAAATAAAAACAAATTAGTCAGGCTTGGTGGGGCAAGGCTGTAGTCAAAGCTACTCAGGAGGCTGAGGCAGGATGATGTCTTGAGCCCGGGAGTTCGAGGCTGCAGTGAGCCATGATTGCACCACTGTACTCCAGTGATAGAGCTTGAATGACAGAGCGTGACCCTGTCTCTCAACAAACAAAAAGCATATCCTGCCTGAGGAGGCAGAGGTGACACCACACCCCTCATCTGCTCAGCAGTGTAGAGGGCTGTGAGAGTGTGAATGCATGGGGCACCCCACGGCTCCAGATGTCCAGGGCTGGGGGCACCCAGCAGGGTGGCTGCAGTGGGATCAGCATGAGGGCTGGGCTCGGGGCAGGTCGCAGAGGTGCCCAGAGCACCACGGAAAGACTTCCTGGCTACTGGACCAGAGGTACCCACTGGCCCTGAAGCTCTGTGCCGAAACCAAGGGGTCACTGATCCCAGAAGGGGTCCGTATTGTGGGCCCCAGTGATGTGCCCGTAGAAGCTCCCAGGGAAGTGGAATCCAGGAGTCCCTGGCTGGCTCCAGGGCCGGGGCTTCCAGGCCTGCCAGGCCACCCCTGTTTGCCCATAACAGCCCTTCTGGGAGCAAGGCCTCCACTCTGTCACTGGCGGGCAGCTGGCATGGGCAGGGCACAGCCTCCCTGGCCTCCATCTTTCCTGTGTACACAGGGGTCAGCGAGAGGGATGACGGGGAGGTCCTCACAACAGCATGGCCTGCACCCCCAGCTCTGGGCTCATGCTCACACACAATTTTACACACGCATGCATGCATGTGCGTGCGCACACACACACACACGCACCCCTCCAGTAAGTTGGTCTCAATCTTGGGGCTGAGGCATGCAGGGCCCTGAGGCATCTTGCAGGGAAGCCACTTCTGGGTCCTGCTTCTTTTCTCTGAGGATGCGTGACTGCTCCTCTCTCTGAGCAGCTCGGGGAGGTACAAGTGCCTGATTTTCACAACTGTAGCTTTTCTGAAGGCACCACACTGCCAGAACAGTCGGGGGTCCTCAGGCAGTAGCTACAGACCACTCCCAAGCCACAGGGTAGCTGTGGGCACCAGATGGACAGACAGGCCCTGAAACCTGCCAACCCTGTGACCCACCAGGACAGTCCCCAAGGCCCCAAGCCTTCTTTCCTCATCTGTTAATGGCCGTCTTGCCTGGGACCGGCCCTGGTGCCAACCTCTGGCTGCAGAGGCTGGGCCCTGCCCGGCTGGCACCAGCACTCGGGGCTGCTGGTCTTGCCCTCTTCTGGCTCCCACCAGTCATGCCACCTCTTCCTGAGGCTGCAGCTTATCTGTCGGTGAGCTCAGTCACCTCAGAGATCCACAGGTTGACCCAGAATGGACCGACGCAGTGAAGGATTGAGAGACAGCCCCGCTTGCCCTCACCCGCATCCATCTCAGGGGCTGCTGCACCCACTGACATCACAGGGGCTGACAGGCAGGGCTCTGGCCTGCGGGGCTCTGGGAGAGCATGAGAATCCACTTACCTCCCCGGAATCTCGCCAAGCCTCCGGCACATGGTGCGATAGACAGAGGGATGCCTCCCAATGGCCGTGTCCAAATCCCTGCGAATCGGGTAGGCTGCCTGGGGAAGAGACTTTCTGTGTCATTAGGTTAAGACCTGGAGGTGGGAGGTGGGAGGTGGCAGGTGGGCCTGGATGGACCGG